CGTTTGAAAGGAGGCTGCAGCAGGCCTCCTCTTGCTTTCTTTTCCACTGTGTGTCTTTGCAAGGAACAACAAACTGTTGCTCCTAAACTTAGAAGAAAAAATATTTAGAAGAAAAAACGTTAAGCTTGGTTTTCCTGGTGCAAGAGGCCCAGGGAGGGGGAAAAGACAGGAGCCACGCGCACCATCAGGTACTGTCAGCGCAAGCAGCACCGTTTTCCGAGGCTGGAGAACTCTGTGGAGTCTCGCCTTCCTCGGAACCTCGTTTTTTCTTTTCCCCCCCTTAACCGACCATCGTATTTCAAAAGCATCGATCCCATGATGTTAGCGCAAATGTAGGAGCGGCCCAGGTCGCTGGGGAATTCACCCCGCATTCAGTGACGTTTGGAAAGGGAAGCTCGGCATCTCCCTTCCCTGCGGCGAGCAGGCGCCGGCCCTCGGCGGGGAGGGCAGAGCCCGGTTCTCATTTGCACACTTTCTGCCTTATTCTCAATGCTGGATGGTGGAGCCGTCGCTCTTTGGGAACAAACCAAACTCACTCAGGTTTAATATCTTTTAATCTTTCCCCAGAAGGTGGAAAACTCAACTGCTGTTTGTCCTGCAAAAGCCTCCTGCACAAGGGTCCGATTATTCTCACGTTCCTGGGACGGCTTGCTCGTTTCAGCCGCTTGGCTGCGTGCGCTCCCGTCACACGCGCTCGTGCTCCATCACTTATTTCTTTTCTTACGTATTTGAAGTTGCGAGAGAGGATTTGCCCTGAATTCTCAGGGGCACTGAAGAGCTCCTTGAGCAACTGTGAGTTATTTTGGGACAGGCCTGTTCTCATCACAAGATGTTGTGCACAATTGCTTTATAATCTCCTGGTATTTATTTAATCAAATAAAACTGCAGATTCTGGGCAGAGCTGTGATCGCAGCTGGTGGTAGCATTTACTGCGTCAAGAATAAAAAAGATAAAGCATATATAATGTTTTGCACTATTAAGAACGTGCAAAGGAACAGCGGGTTTTCAATTATACACCAGAATTTGATTTTATATAGCTCCTTTCATACTTGAGTTACTTCTAAGTGCTTTTTCAGTAACTCATTACTCCGTAGCGCGGCGGCTGTCGAGTTTATGTGGACACCGGTACTCCCAGCCCCGGACACCGTGCTGCTGGGATGTTCTCTGCTTCGGAAATGCTGAGCAAAACCCTGCGGGTCTCCTCGCCGCTGCCGGAGGGAGTTGGAGAACTTTTTAACTTCTGCCTAGCATGAAGCCGTTCTTGTGCGGAAGGGCTTCGCATCAGCGGCATCAACGGCCTGGCAGCTCTGCTAGAGGAGCGCACAGCTGACATCACGTAGAAGCTCGTTTCCCGGTGATCAATTCTTCCTAACGAAGGTCCTTTCCTCTTTTCTTTTGTTACAGCTCTCTAACAGCACGAGAGCAGTGCTACTATCGCGATACGCAGCTTTAGCGCTGTCTTCCGTGCTGTAAAACAGGCTCCTTACGCAAAGGCGATTTGTGCGGCTTCTCGGGAGTCTGGCAAATAGCATTAGTGGCTGAGGAACAAGACAATCTTTGCGAACCGAAGGTCCCTCTGGTCCCCAGGTAGGACAGCAGCGCGCCTGGCCTCTCCTTGCCTCTCCTTGGCGGTGGCGCGCGTTGCGCAGCGTGGTGGCGCGGGAGTCGTTCGGGCAGCAGTTGGTTCTTCGCAGCTTAATTGTACGGGCGAGGTGTGGCGGCGGCAGCGCCTGGGACGGAAAACCAAAGGCTCTTTGGTGGTGAAGGGGAAGAACACGTCGGGAACCGCTCTGGCCCAGGAAGGGCCGTCAGCGTGGGACGGGGCCCGCGCTGGGAGAGGTGTGGGCTGCTAGGAGGCTGCAAAGGGCAACGGCCCCGTGCAGGGAAGCTGAGCAGATTCAGAGCTCGTTTAACAGACGGGGCTGTGCAGATATTTTATGGTCGGTCTGTAATTGTCCCTCTAATAGATCCTGAATTACTCAGCGTGAGGGTTTGAGAAAACCGTGTCCAGAGTCGGTTAGAAGATGTTTTTTTACTGGGCTGTGCCGGAGGGCGATGCTCAGACACTGCTGAGTGAAGGCCAGCGCTCTGACGCTTGCTCAGGTGCAGGATCCGGATCAGGTTTTACGTAGCCCTTAGAGCTGCCCTCAGCTAGATTCCATCGCTGGCATCGCTCGGAACCGGCTCGCGAGTTCTACAGCATTACCTTTCTTGGTTACAAAGCAAAAGCAGCAATTCCAGCTCTTTTTTTGAGTCGCGAGGAGGGCGAGCGATGCAGCCCCTGCTCGCGCAGCCTGCGCTGCGTTCGCTCCTGGTGGTTTTTTCTCTAAGGGACAGAGCAGGGATTCTCCCGGGGCTGCTCGGTGCCGTCACGGACGGACGTGCTGCTGAAGAGCAGGGCTGAGGAGGCCGCCCAGACCGAGCCCCGGCAGCGGAAAGTTGCTTTTTTAACAATTCCGCTCAGTTTTTTGTTAAAGAGGGAATCCACCAGCACGAGAGCGAGGATGCAGAAAGAGAAACGCGACCTTTTCATAC